CCTTTCCTTTCCTTTCCTTTCCTTTCCTTTCCTCTCCTCTCCTCTCCTCTCCCTCCCCCCCTCTTTCTCTCCCCAGCCTGTGTGTACAAAGGGAAGACCTATTCACACGGGGAAGTTTGGCACCCCCATATCCATTTTGCTCTGCCTTGCATTCTCTGTACCTGCAGAGATGGTGTTCAGGACTGCCAAAGGGTTACGTGTCCTAAACAATATACTTGTGGAGAACCTGAAGCTGTAGAAGGAAAATGCTGCAAAGCGTGCCCAGGTAAAAAGAAAACCGTGGTTGCCTTTCCTTCTTTCAGTCTTTGCTGAGGTGCACAGGAGGAAGTAAGGATGGACCCAGCCCTCTATAACATGAGTGGGCTTTCGGCCCCCAGCCCCATTTTTGCAGCCCCTAATATCACCTCAGATGATATTGCTCAAAATCAGCAGGAAATTGTGGATTCTGCCAGCTCAAATTTTCACTTGTATTTCTCAACTAGGGGCACCCAGAGCTTCTGCTGGGTTTAGCACACTTACCTGTGTTTCAAAAATGCTACCCCCACCCCCAACTAAAACGATTGCCTCTGGTTCCCTCTAGGGACCTCCTAGGGGTTCACTGATAGGCAACCTTTTGAGGTTGTTGAGCACCGTTTCGATGTTGTGAGTACTCTGACAAAATGGCTTTCATCGTAGGCATGGCCAGTCACAAAACACTTGTTTTTCAGAAGGTAAACTGCTGAGGTTGCCCCAGATCACCCTCTCTAAAAAAGCCGATGATAAACTGGAGTGGTATGGAGCTGATACTCTGTACCACTTAAGTTTATCATCGCCTTTTTTTTCTTTTCTTTTTCTTGAGCTGCTGGGCCTACTTTTAGTTTCTGAGAATGCTTCTGGAGCTAGGTGGGATAACAGAGGCTGGAGCATCCTGGTGCTCTATTGCTGTTTTCTCAAAATCACCTTAAAAAGGCTTTTAAGTAGGAGGAGGCAATACCTTTTGACCTGGGAACTGAAATTTGCAGTTTGCAGGAATCTTTTCTGTGATGCTTTGGCATCACAGGGTTTTTCTGGATTTTGGATTGGGTAAAGATGGAAACTGATTCACTTAGTTTCACATCTGTTTAGCATGGCTGTTGTGAACTTCAGTTTAACCTTCTGGTGTTAAAAATATGCATTGCTAAATAGCAACCTTTTTGCCACTGAGTTTGGGGGACACCGTTTTGTGGGTCTTCTGCCCTAAAGTCAGGGGGAGCAGGGGGTTTTGTGGGTACAAGGAAAGCATCAACAGGCACCATCTGGAAATATTGTACTACTTCATGGTGACAGTCCCTGAACCTAGATTACAAGCAAATGCTGTGCATCAGATCTGGGACATTTTGACAGCCAAAGCCATAAGCTTCAGGCTGAAGACTATCCCCCAATTTTTATTAAAACTAACAAATGTTATTAAAAGGCAGAAGCTTTTGTACATGAAAGCTTATGCCTTCTAATAACATTTGGTAATCTGAAAAGGCGCTACTAGGTTTTTAAAATTTTGAGTTACTATAAATTAACCTCGCTCTTCTCCTACAATGTCTCCAACAACTGGGGGAGGGGGGGGCATCTTCAAAAAATGGGTGGAGACCAAGCCAAAAACATACATTCAGATTAATTTAGACTTGTTAACATTCCATTAGATTAATTAACTGCCCTAATATATGGTTACACCCCATGAGTTATATTTTTTAGAGGACAAAGTGATGCCCACCAGGGGACTCGACACTACCCAATACAGGGCGTCTGTCTATGTCTTTGCTCCGCTGCCAACTTTGTCTGGCTTTGAGAATGCCAAGGAGAATTTAAGGAAGATGGTGATCGAGAGGGGGTCCTTGCCAGATGTGGAAATCTATACCTGGAAGTTCACAGGAGGTGAGTCCCTCTTGTGAAAATGCAAGGGATCGACTGATTTGCAAGACCAGGTTTCTCAGATCCTGGGCACCTGGTTGCTGTCCTCCAATCTGGGCTTATAAGTTCCCCAAATGCATCATGGTTTGCCCCCGGATGACTCAGGAGGCTGGCCTAGGTGGACCAAGGGCCTGATCCAGATCTTCTCCTGTTCTTATGATAGTGGTGTTGATGGTGATGAAGATAATAATAGTCATCAGAACAACGCTTCCAGAATTTATTTCAAGCCAAGTTTCAAACCCACTCACTCACCCACTCACCCAGTAATTTCACCCTGCAAAAATTAATCTGTTATTAATCCCCTAAACACCCAATTTCAAATCCTGTTGCAAAAAGCGAATTCTGGCCTCTCTCAGTAACAAGATAATCTCACTCACTCACTTGGCAGCACTGTAAAAATTTCTGTTTGTTTATTCAATTTTGGCCTGTTTTAATCAGTCTATTCTCAGTGGGTTACGGTCAGTATTTTGCAATAAAACATATGTGTGGCAATCGAAAGTAAATGGTCAGAAATTCAAATGACAAGACAATGTCCAGAATGTGGGTTCCGACAACAACAAGCCCAAACAAGAAGAAATAAATAACTGGATGGCATTTGCATGTCAAAACCCCTCTTAACAATTCTAAAACAATTTTAAAACAATTTTAATAATGACACTATTTTATTAGATTTGTAGGCCACCTGACTCCACCCCTCTGGGCAGCCTATAAATCTAATTTATATTCAGATTTGTACGGTCTTTTCATCCATCCCCACTAGGTAGCAGCCCCTGGTTCACTTTGCTGGTCTTGAAAAGCTAAGCAGGGTCAGATCTGGTTAATATTTGGATTGGAGACCACAAGGAAAGATCAGAACTGTAGGCTAGACTGGGAAGCTGGAAAACACCCAAGGCCAAGGCAGTGGCAATCCACTTCCATACTGCTGTCAAAAAATCTACATGGATGTCTCTGTGAGTCAGCAGGGCAGAGCTTCACTATTCACTATTTATTCAAATAGTTTTTCAGTACAGCAGACTTGATGTCCCCCCCTACTTTAGGTTCTGGCCCCACCCACTGCTTCCTTTGGCTCCGCCCACTGCTAGTGGCACATAATGGATTAAGCCTGCGGGAGTGTGGCCCTTAATTTCCAAGTTTGGGAACAGTGGAAGAGAAAAATTCAGTGATGCAGGCAAAACAGGTCTTGTCTGTCTTATTAAAAACAGTGTCATTTATTGAGGGTTTTTCTTACACCCAGTAATAAGGATTGGATACAAGAACAAAAGCAGCAAATTATCTTGGTTTGTTGCTTGTGTTGCAGGAGAAATCTGGAAACAGGGATCAGCCCTCCCTAAGCTATGGGAATTGTAGTAGTAGTAGTAGTAGTAGTAGTAGTAGTAGTAGTAGTAATAATAATAATAACGGAATTCAGGGGAGTCCTGGCTAGAAAAATCAGAGTGACAGCCTATAAAGTCATTGGATGTGTTCACATGAATGCTTAAGCTACTCAGTTACTCCATTTTCTGGGTCCACACCATCTTCTGAATCCTAAATCAACATGGATTTGCATGCCTGAAGCCTACTGAATGGGCTGCAACACTCTGCATGACCACTAGGTGGCCGGATAGAACAATCTTTGGGTCTCATTCCTGCCATCTAGTGGTTGTCTGAGGTTGTTGTTTTTTTGCAACCAGATATGGAAGCATAGCTGCAAAAACATCTAACCAAGTTAAGCATCATGTATGAATGTGGCCACTGGATCTTTAACTGGATGGGTTGTTGTTTGAATACAACTATAATGTCTCGATCGCCCATTTCTTCCTCCCCTTCGCCAAGTCCTTCAACTCACCCTGCAACCACGTCTGCAAGACTATCGACAACATCCCTAAAATTACTGAGTCTCTGCTGTGCTAACATTCCATCAAAAATGATAAGCATAATTAAAATTTTGAATAGTATGAAGGAACAGCAGGGGCTTAACATGTGAGTACTGTCTTGTTTTAATCCCTGGAGGTTCTCTAAAGTATCCATGGTAACCAGTATCTGTTTTTTAGGAGTATTTCAACTGATTCAGATCAAGAAGGTCAAGAAACAAGATCTGAGGCAAGAAGTGAAAAATTTCTGGCTGGTTTCCAGAGCAAATGAAGGTAGAAATAGCCCTTTTAGAAAGCAGCAGAATTAGATCCCTGATTCCCAAGTTTGCCTGGGTCCATAGCAAGAGGGAACCTTACTAATTGTTACAGGGTTCATTTTCGGTACCTGTTTGCAGCAGGAATTTGAGTTGGCATTGCAAAGGTGGTGTAATCAAGTGGAACACTTTAAATAGCTTAATATTCAGGAACAACCAGCACAAAACACTTTATTTGGATCACAGGGGAGGGGTGAAAAAGGCAAGACAGCAGCTGTGACCCCAGGATGGAAGCCCCACCGCGTTTTAATGGGTGTTGAATGTTCATCCTTGGCTTCTACATGAAACAGCAGCACAGGATGTGGGATGAGGAGGTAGGACTGAGGGACAGACTGAGGCTCCATTGGACAACTTGGGGGAGCAGCAATTCAAATATGTCCCTACCCAATGAACTCTGTTAGGGCTTGACGCAACGACCAGGTTCATACAACGTGCTAAGACAGATGCTGGATTCCCTCAACATGGTGAATTGCAAAGTGTCCCCTCTCTTGTAACCTCGTCTGGTGGTAGATCTTGAAAAAAGCTAAGCAGGGACAGACTTGGTTATCATCTGGATGGGAGAACACCAGGAATTCCCAGAGCTAAACACAGAGCATCCATGAGGTCACCCAGAGTCACTACAACTTAATGGAGATGTGAGGAGCAGCAGCAGCCCGATTTTGTCTATTTTGGGAGCTAAGCAGGGCTGGTCTTGGGCTGTACTTGGATGGGAGACCAAAAGGAAATCTCAGGGCTTTGGGTTGGGGATTTGAAGAAACATCTTGAAAAAAGGCAGTGGCAACCCACTTCCATATGGTTGCCAGAAAAACTACAGGAGTTCAGTTGAAGTCAAGCTCAGTTTTACTTTTAAAGTGGTCTGGACTCAGCCAACCGCCTTTTCTCTGCCCAAGTCTGTTTTAACTTTGCAGCACCATCTGTTATGGGGGTGTGGGTGGAGGAAAAGCTTTTATTTTCATATTTTTCAACAAGAGAAAGTCTGAAGAAGCAGGTTCTCACTGATAAACAAAGCTCATCCTTCTATAAATTACTTCTTCAAGTGACCCAGGCTCCTAGCTGTTTGAGGAGGGGGGAAGAGATAATAGCATATAAATAATTCAATCTCCTTATTTGGTGAATGCTTCAAGGTTTCATGAGTAGTAGTAATAATGAATAATGACCCCTTTTTCATCCACCATCTTCTCTGAGCTTATTGGAACATGCTTCTGCTCCAAGGTGCCGAAGTGAAGATGACCGAAAGCCCCAACAAGGAGACCAAGAATTTGTGAAGACAGGAAGGAGAAGATATCTATGGGAAAAGTTGCACTATTGAATAAACAGCCACACCAAGCTACAGGAAAGCAATCCACAGCCAGATTTTTGGAAACTCTACCCATTAGAGCGTGACAACATGACAGCCACCGGCTTCACAGCTCTGCTACTGCCATGGAGGCAACCATGATGTCCCAATGCTGCAGGAGGGACCCACTTGCTCCCACATTTGTCTTTGTCACGAGGGAGAAAGCCAGAGAGAAACAGGATGGGGGCTTCTTGAGGAACACAGCCAGAAGGCTCACAATAGATCATGATTGTGCTCTTGTCCGGGTATTCTGGACCATGAAAACAGTCATGTCCCAGGACGGGATCACAACAGCAGGAGGTTTGCAAACGTTCCAAAGGCATTTCTGCACTGGCCTACGATCAAGCTCTAGTCTAGGCTGTTCCCAATTGGCAAAGCCAACTAATGATGTCCTTTATTATGGACAAGAATCCCTAAAAGATGACTAATCCAAGGAAGTTTGAGCTAGAACAGCCTTGTTGAGGAGCATTTCCTGAATCTTTTGAGCCTTTTACAATGAATGCGTTCACAGAGTTATAGAACGGTCATGGGACCCCAAGGATCACCTAGCCCAATCTTCTGCAATGTGCAATGTGTAGGAAAGGCAGTTCAACCAGTCATGAGAGGTGGCTGTCCAATTCTCCTTGTTAATTCTTTGGAAGAACTTATAATCTGTGGCTCTTGGGAGTTTGGGGAAGTTGCAAGGGTTCTGAAGTTAATCTGGATATGTTCTAGATATGTTTATATGGGTAGGAAGCAGGCAGAAGGTCCTGAGTTCAGCCCTTGGTATCTCTAAGTTATAATGAACTCCAGTTAGCAAGGACTGTTCCACCAATGATCTTATTGCTTCATCCAAAGACACCTTCACAAATATGCATTATTTCATTAGTGTGTATCAAAAGGTGGCCAAGAGACTCTTCAGCAGCTGAGTGAGTAAGATGGCTGAGCTAGATCTCACTTCTCCCTAGAAATATCACATTGGGAAGAACAGGCTTAGATCCCTCTGTTGATACAGGTTCTTGAAGTCCTAATAATGTTCTTGTTGCAAGGCCCTGGATTTTTTCCTAGTTCAGCCAAGTACATCAGCAAATGTGAACAGTTAAGTCACTGAGCAATTCAGATCTAGATATCCCATGGAAAAGAGGAATCTGATCTATTTTTCCAGTGGGATTAAAGTGTCCTCTCACATTGCCCCCCAAATGGCAGAATTGGATTGCTGATTTTGAAAATTCAACACCATTTCCTGACTTGAATTTGGATGTTGGCTGCTTTGATAAACTATATTTTGGAAACTGGATGTTGTGTCTCTCTGGCTTTCATTGGCACTTTGAATGAATGGAACATTGTCTTTGGCTAGAATCATCTTTCTCTAACTTAGATATTGGGCTATAACCCCTATCATCCCCAGCCAATCTGGCCTATTGCCACGTTGACTGGTGATGAGAGGATCTGCAGTTGGGCATTCAACCGGGAGGCCTCCAAGTTGAGAAGGTCAACCGAGGTCCATCAACCAAATCTGTTCCAGGTTGACTAACAAATCAAGCTTCAAGAAGATCCTCTTGAACACTGCTTTTGGTTAAACAGTCATTTCCCTGCATTTTCAGACTTACAAGATTGAAATGACTGAACCATGGAAAAAGAGAGGCTTCAGTAGATGATGGGACTGAGAAAGCCTCTGGTCTCCATCAGAGCTCAGCTCAGCCCAGCCATCCCAGTCTCTTTGGACGCACTGGTACCCTCTTCTTTTTGGTGCCTGCTTTGGATGATGGACGGGGTTCCTGTTCCAGGCCACAGAGACTACAATAGCCAGTTTGTCAAGAACCGTGCGCCTCTGTAGCCTCAGCCTTCGAGGGCAGCTGAAGTCATGATGAACCTCCTATAGTGGAAGCAGTTGCTGTATAGGAAAGAGGTACATTGCACCAGTGATGCTGTGGGTGACCATCAGGGCATCATCTTCATCCATGTTGCTTTGTGAAGAGAACTTGCCAGAGCTGTTCTCTTCCTGATTCTGTGAGGGCTTCAGTCATGTCTGCTGTCATACAACCCAGACTTGCATCGTTTGTGTGTGATCCTACCAAATAATACACACACGTAGACTGAACACTGAATTAACACTGAACTTGGTTCCTGGATTAACCCATTTTCTGGGTTTACCCTAAACCAGTGACTCTCAACCTTGGCCACTAAGATGTGTGGATTATTCTCAGACACACTTGAAGTCTTTTCCCCAAAAGTGTTCCACCTTCTGGAAAAAGTGGTTGGTTTGCACCATCCTTTCTGACCAAGGAACACAAAGTTCTGCCGTGTGAAGAACATCAAAAAGACACTTCAGTGCCAAGGACCCGGCCGTCAGGAAATGAAAAGGGAGCATTTTATAGCATGGCTTGAACTAGGTATGCAAAAACATGGGGAAAAGAGAGCAGTGATGATTGCTATCTGCCCCATGCCCAGGGGCTAACAGATCAGACTTGGAAATTCTTCCAAAATTATGTTCAGCACAGCCAACAGAATAGGAAGGGTTCTTGAGTGTATAATACCTTTGCAAGCCCAGGATAGATAGCTGAGGAGTATTTGGTATAATATCTGTTCTCCTTCCATCGTAGCAGTGGATTCCTGCACTGTGTGTGGGTCAACTAGATGATCTCCCAGACCTCTTCCAGTCTTTACATTCTATCATTCTATTATATGTTGCCATAGATTGGGTCCAGATACGTCCAACTAATGAAATCTGGTATCTTAAGACGGACAAGAGAATCATAGAACTATGGAGTCGGAAGGAACCACCAGGAGCATTTAGCCCAGTGCTTCTCAACCTTGCAACTCGAAGATGGGTGGACTTCAAATCCCAGAATCCCCCAGCCAGCATGGCTGGCTGGGGG